TCCTGCCCAAGCACCAAAGCAGAAGTTGATTGATATAACTATCGCTTGTAGTGGTAACATTATCTACTAATAGAGTAAGTATTGCCAGTTGCGCAGTTAAAAATAGTAACTTGCGTTCATACGTTTTATAGAATGCGGGCAATTTTAGACATAATACGAGTGATGCCAAAATCCAGCTGTGCATGGTTTACTTGGCAGGCACATCATGCACTACCTATAATTTACTGTAAATAATCATAGCAATGTGCATCATATTTTTTTGATGGACAATAGAAATATATTGCACAATAATAAAAGAACACTCACCCTCTGGTCGCTAAGTTTTATAACTTTTGTAAGAAACAGTAACAAGATTGATCTCCAGGCTTCCCGATGACTTTCAGATTCTAATTTCAAGAAGTATTCCAGAGCTTCTTTACAGACACTGAAAATTTAAAATAAAATGAAGACTCACTCATTAAATATGAAAAGAAGAACAAATCATTACTTAGAAAATAACTTTTTTCTGGTGTCACATATATTTAGCCATCAAAGGAGTGTTTACAACTCTTTAAACGCCATCATTTTTTTCGCCAACATTTTGAACATTATACATGCAATTTATTTTTTTATGATTTCTTTTTTTTATTTTCGACAAAATGCACTTTACACTACTGATCAATATTTGGGAAAAACTGGGGGAAAAAATGATGTGTGTTTTATTTTCTGAAATGTAACAAAAGACAAATTTAGCAGGGGAAAATTTAGGGGAAAGATGCTGTGATAAAGAAGTTTTACTAAGTAGCATGGTGATGTCACTGGGCAAGTGCATGAGCAAATAATGCTTAGGAGGGAATACTTCCTCTTGAAGAAAGATAAATCTAGAAAAAATTAACAAAATCATATTACCCTTATCGCTTCATTTTTGAGTCAAGCATAGATTTGCAAAATATGACCGATTGGTCTCAAAAATTTTTGAATCTTAAGATTGATTGTGACAATTTCTCAGATTATCAATTTTCATTTGACTGAACGTATGTAGAATTCAAACATGTGATACACGTAGGGAAATTCACTAGCAGAAACAGCACAAGACGAAGAAAATCAGTTCTTTCAATCATTTGCATTAGCAGTGATAGATATTAACGCCTATCTTGCAATATTGTAATCCCTTGTCACTTTTTAAAATCATGTGAGATATTCATTGCATATCACACTACATACATAATCTCAATTATAAATCTTTGCTACAACGTACCTTATTAATCTGTCCTCAATATCCGGCCACTTATCTTGCCGATCGGTATCCATATACATTCTAAACAGTATCCTCAAAAGACATGCTAAACTATTTGTCTCCTGTTTTAATAAGTTTGGCTTTGATTTCCCTTTGAATCCTAAAATAAAAACAGTATACATTAAAATACAACACTGAAAATAATTTGTTTGTCTTGTTTTTATGTTTGATTTCACACATAACACAGGATCTCACTGTGAACAGGAAATTGTTACTGTCAATAATTTTCTTTATTAAAAGTGCATATGAACTAAATTGTATTTTGAAATATCACTTATTATGACCACAGAAATACCTCTGTAGTTTACATTAGCATTATCATTCAGTCTGGATGATAACAATTACGCGCATAATGTATTAATCCCGACTAGTTACTGTAGTTATTGTAGTACTTTTGACTATTCTCGGGAGCGAACATCCAGACATTTGTACCACCTAACAACCACAACCAGTGAAAAAGATTGTTGAAAACTTTAAAAACGGTACTTTGGGTTAGAGACTCTCCTGAACAGTGTAATAAGATTAAGTTTATGCTGTTTTCTTGAATTTAGA